ATCTGCTACCAGATCATTCATTGTTCATTCTGAGTCAGGATGAACAAGAAAGGTCTTGGTGCAGTTTAATTATCTAAGGAAATTACTATGACCAAGCTCAGAAGTAGTGGAAGGTAGCAGGGGTTGAATTGCAGCTTTGAGTGGTGATAAGGATAATTAAATCTCAAGCACCCAAAGGCAGAGAAAGCAAAATGAAAATGCAATCCACCAAACTTTCACATGGCAGTGACCAGACCAGCCAACAAACATCAGGAGACCCCTTGGCCATCTGGAAGGTGGTCATATCGTGATGTTCTGGTTGTTCATTGGACTGATTGGAACAAATTCCCTTGGCCCTCTCTACAAGCAACATTGCAATGATCACACGCACCTTCCGCTTGCTTCAGTGATTCCGCTCAAGTGCTCAAAATTCTGCAGTTGCGCCACCAGCACCGTACCGTGTGGTTGACTTGATCGAGTCGAACCCAGCACCCTTGAACCTGCTACCATCCATGCTCAGAAATGGTCACTGATTTAGACACTTCATTCATCCTTAGCTTCTGCGATCTTCACAGACTTTTGTCTCATCACTATGTCAACAACGGTCCAGAGAAGTGTCCCTGACAAAGAAGGCAGTTCAGGTGACACTGCCACTCAACAGCATCATTGCCAAGACAGCAGTCGCTCAAGAAATTGTGCAAAATATGTTACCAACAAAATTTGTATTTGTCTCCTCTCACTTGAGTCGTGATCTGCTTACACAATAGCGCGGAATGCGCATTCGCAGTTCAAGAATGCATATCAACGTTATCAGTGACCCCTGGGTCACCCAAGTGGGGTATATGAGCCAATGTCACCAGGAAATCAGTCTCGCTTCCTTCACCCATTTTGTTTGCATTATACTGGGTTCCGCTGTTTCCTGAAGATCAAAAACGTGTCTTTGTTCGTCTAGGAGCCTCGTGACTGTCTTCATCTGCATTGTTTTTTTTCCCACCCTGCTTTGGCCGCGACAGTGTTTCGTTTGATCGCGGCCCTGTGTGGCCGTTTGGTCTGCTCTCTGCCACTTCATTGTTCCAGTCATAAAAGGCAGACGCAAATTCAAAGTTGCAGTTTGACTTTGGTAATTCCACTCTTTGAGGAGAAGAAAAAAAACCAAACAACTACTCTGATAGTTTTGCCAATCATGATGGAGACTACAGTCACAAAACACCGCAGCACCTAATCAAGTTGAGCGATAAAATTAGTTTGAACCCTTTCAGGGACAGCGGTTACTACAGTGCACAGCTTATCATGATATCAGGTTACAGGGTGCATGAAAGGGCGAAACATCAGCCTTGTCTCATACACTCACATCTCAAAATGATGCCAAAATCATCAGAGAATAAAATCATTTTTTTCCCCTCCTCATCAATCTTAGATGTAAGAAAGAAAAAAAAAATAGTGACATCTGTGGAATACCGAACCTCCAAGCAAACGAGAATCCGCATGCCTTATCTAATTTGGAGCAATACGTTTTGCACTTAGTGGATCTCAATGGTTCTGTGTGAATCATCGTAAACCTGCTTACGATCAGATCGAGACTCCAGAGAGTCACAAAGAAACTTGTTGCTCAACATGGTGACTCAAATGCTTGAAGGAGGCCGAGACTTGGCTCGTCTCAGCGAAACAAGACTGCTCGACTCGACTTCTCTCCCTCCACTCACCACAGCCCCTCTACGCTCTCATTTACATAAGCACTAATCCAAACACTTATACCTTCCTCTATTCCTTAATTAGTTTTATCCCAAGACGTTTTTTTTCCGCATTTTGAAGATTTCAGTTTCCGTTTGTTTCTCTGACAAGTATGTGTCTCGAGTGTCAGAAAGCGTCGACAGTATGTCCATTAAACAGCATTTTTGCAGTCCAGTAGGTTGCTCTCTCGTGGATAAGTCAGGGGCGGGCGGGGGGGGGGGGGGGAGTGATGACTACAGAGATGCAGGGAAAAATAAAAGGTGCAATTAGATACGGAAATGTTGTCCTGCAGGAAGATAGTGAAGCATCGTGCTGCAGAGAGACAGCAGCTAGTGTTTCTGTCGAGCCTGATGTGACCAGTGTCTGTGAATCTGCTCAGAAAAACACAGACAAGGGAAGAGATGAGATCCGAATGACTGACTGGCAGTTCCCCCCCATCCTGCTTTTCAAAGACTCCGATCTGACCTGGATGTTTGAATGACATTCAAACATTTGTATTGTCAAGGACGGATTAAAACCAAGCTAGCCTGAGTGGAGGAAGGAAACAAGAGTAAGATGCAGTGGACGGAAATGCCATGAAAGCAAATCGACACGTCCGTGATTTTCTCCGTTCATCAGCCGGCTAATGTGTGTGAGCGCTTTTGATTTTTCTGCAGCTGCAATGAGGACCAGTTACACAAGGATGCCTACCTCACTATGAAACAGTGGAAAATAGGATAATCAATAACATAACATAACATTATAACATTGAACCCAAAATGCTTGAAATCAGCAAATAAAGCAAGCAAACTCAGCAAGCAAACTCACAAGACCTTCAAGAGCATCAAAGCATGAACTCAAAGTTTTGCTTGGTCTTTCTTCTTGATTTTCTGTTTCCTTCTTTCTTTTATTTATATATATTTTTAGACCTTTATTCTAAAAGAAGGACCAGCATCAACAAGAGAGAAGAGAAGAGAGAAGAGCACAAGTTGGCAAGTGTTACCAGCATTTCAGAGCCATGCCAGCTGGAGATGATGCAGTGTTGAGGCAGGAGATGATTACCAGGAGCCAAGTGGATGACTTTAGTCAAAGTGTTTGGCTCTGTTAAGCAGTGTTTTAGCACTGTTACTGTTTTATATTTATGAATTTATTTTTGGATCTCCCAATTTTCATTTTTCTTTCATTCATCTTTGTCATAGATCTGTTGTGCGTTGGTCAAGCTAATGCTATATTAGCGATAATTTCAGACTAGCCCCAGTCCAGAGAGGGAGGCCGGAGCCGGATACAAACCCATGACCTCTGCGCTGTGAGGCGGATGTGCGAACCAGTCAAGCACTTTGCCACCCAGATGGAAAATCAAATACTGTGTATTAAAATACTACATGGAGTGCGCTTATATATCAATGTATCTACATCATACGATGTCTTACCAAAGAGCTTTACAAAGCCTCCCATTCACTTATTTGCAAAATGAATCTATTGCACTGTAAAGTACAGTGGCAGGTAGCCACCAGCGTTCAGTGCGCTGTCTACCTGTCGTGAATGCTGGTGGCCGCCTGCCACTGTTTGAGCTCCAAAAACACCCAATAGTTTTACTTTAAGGTTTAAAAATAAATGGCTTACTTTAAACAGGATCCCACTCTGCACTGTGGCCAAGGGTAAAATCCAACTCAGTTACTGCACATGTTTGCATGGTACATAATAAAATCCTCCACATCGACTCGACAGGCATGAGCGGCATCCTAAATAAAGCTACGGCTAACTAGCTGTGGAGACGCCCTCTCTGGGACAGCTGGCATTTTTTGCCATGCATGACGACAGAGGTTTTCAGAACACTGCCGAGATGGGCTTTCCACAGAGCGTGCTGCTTAATAGTTAATTGAAATTAGAATTAGAAATGTGTGTGTAGGGGGGAGGGGCATTATAAACTCCCCATGTGAACTTCCTGCCACCCCCCACCGCCATCCCAGGTAAAACTGTCTTGAACCGCCAGTATCCGAAATCAACTTGGTGCTTTATTTTGCTCTTATGGCTTCTCTTTTGTGTTCTATTTTGGAAAAAAAAAGTCTCTGCATGACTACTGCCGCACATTTAGTGAAGACTTTACACATTGCGGTGATGGCAGTGGCTCAGTCTGACACTGGCGTGTCAAAGGTTAAAATCGCATCGCAGAATTAAAAAAAAAAAAATGTACTGGTTGTTTGAAAGATGTGTCAGCTCGCTGACAACTTTCGAGATACCCCTGAGCAAAGCGTTAAACCCCATATGTGTGTTTAAACTCTGTGTGATGCATGTGACATTAATACAGCAGCGTTTGTAGATAATTTTTCCTGAGGGCGTGGGGAATATTTAACAAAAGAAAAATGGAAGAGGAATTGAAGAAGGGAAAATGCACCCTTTCCCCGGGAATGTGAATCGGTCACATTTTAACATCCATCCACCATGACTGTCCTCACACTGAGAGAAGTCTTCAAACTGAATTGAGGGAAAAAATCCCCCACAGCATTTCTCACTTTCTTCGTATGATTTTATTTTCTTCACACATTCCCAGACTCAGCGGACAAATTAACATTTGAAAAGCTCCCCATAAATGAAGACCGGTGATGCACACAGTTGCGTCGTTGAAGACACCATGCCGGCGCTTGTGTCCAGGCCATTTTGGTTTATGAAGGCTTAGTTTGAAGGTCACTCATGCACTTTGCTTTTCACTCTTTCCTTTGATCCGTTCGTGCAGAGAAGCGCTGTTCATAGTGCTGAAATGTAAAGCCGTCAACTGGGTCACACATGGTCGACTGACTTAATGCGTCATCTCTGACTCATGGTTAAGTCCACTCTTTGTGTTTCACCCTAACCATAGTACCAAACCCGAACATATGGACGAGTTTCAAGATCAGTGATGCAGCAATTCAACCAGTTTGAGATTCATGTTGTTGTTTCTTCTTCCTTTGCTGCTCCTAATCAGACCTTGCTTCCACAAAGTCGACTGTTAGTGCGGTTGAGGTCTTGATTCCCCCCACCCCTCTTGAAAACTCACCGAGGTGTCGGTGGCGCGTCGAGCTTGTTTGATCGCTGCGACGGATACGGCGCCTTGTCGAACGCTGTGCTGACTACTGAACACGACTCACCCGTTTGCACAGGCAAGCCGCCGTGACGCGCGCACGTAGTCGATGCAAATGGGACTGCCCCCCCCCCCAACACACACAGACGCACACACACAAACACACACACACGGTAGCCGACAGTACATTCTACCGCCGTGTAAACGTCTCACAGCGCGTGAGAGCAAGAGCGGGAGAGAGAAGAGAGCAAGAGCGAAAGAGAGAGAGGGAGAAACGGAGAGCAAGAGAGGGAGATTATATAAAAGAGGTGACCGGAGCGAGGCAGGACGGCATTAACCCAAGAAAGTGATCGCTGCTGTTCGTGGATACACGCGAGTCAAGGTAATCTTTGTGTTCAAACATTCTCCCGTGTAAGTATTGCGTAATCGCGAGGGAGAGGGATTGTTGGTAATTGCTGATTTTATTTTTAAAATATGTGACGTGTACATCTACTCTGTGTTTGCTTCGTTCCCTGTCGAGCTCCCGTCATTCCAACCGCTTGAACAAAACATAGGGAGCGACGATGCTAGAATGCGAATTTAATGTATCCGATGTGGAGTTGATGCTAACTTGTTCGGCAAACTGTTGCGTCTGTCCTCTGGAGCACCGCACCCCGACTTTTTGTGGGTGCAGTGTCTGCTCAAGTGAGGCAGCAAGAGAATTGAGATGAAGGGGACTTTGTTTCATGGGAATCTCTTTGGGCTTCACAAAAAAAAAAAAAATCAGATGTGGGACAGAAAAGGCTTTTGAAAGTGCATTTTAAGCATCTCTACTTCAAATCATGGTGTAAAATATTACAGAATTTATCTCCAAATGCATGCAAATGGAAGAGGTCAGCCTGCAGTGATAAACCTCAGTTCATAGGCACATTTAATGCGCTTTCCAGACTGTTTTTTTTTCATTACATGATGTAATTTTCCTGAGTCTCAGATTGCAGAGATAGTGTTGGGGAGATGCACATCATAAAACACTGCTGCAAGTAAATGGAACATCTGCACTGAAAAATAATGCAGATTAAAAATGGTATGGGAGGTTGATGAAATCGCACCACGTCCGTCTGTTTTGGGAATTGTGTAACAGAACGCAATCTCATGAATAAACAAATAATATTGAAAATAATTAGGCTGCACACGATGAGCGATTTTAACAAATACGATAACTGGTTTATTGACTGTACAGTCAACCTCTTGGGACCGACCCACAAAGAGCCAAAAATTTGCATATAATTGACGCCCACTGATATGCATTGGGAAAAAAATCTCAACAATTAAACACCAAAATTTCTCCCAAAAACACTGAGGTTAAACATATTCAATGCACGGAAAATGTGTGTGTATGCCGGCGGGGAGATGTTGCAAGATGTTGCAAGACACAAACACAAACCAAATATCAACATGCACTGTGTTTCTCATCCTCCTGAAAATACTTTTCTTTTTGAGTATGCTTGCTAACACTGTTACATCCTCTTGCTTTAAATGCAGCTGCATATATTGTATTATGTGCCTTCGTGTGTGTCTCCCTCAAGGATCCTCCTGGAGTCAGCGACCACAGACCGGCATATCAAATCCCTTCCGTGCCGTGACGCATCCATTGTTCCAGCAGCACTGTTGGACTGTGTGCCAACGAAGGACCGAGACTAAATGTCTGTGACACTGCCAAATGCTGCAGCTCCTGCCAAGATTATGAAGTTGTAAGTAGGTTACTAGATCTGTCATTCTCGCACCTAATCCATGAAATGGCCCTCCTCTTTGATGAGAGACTGTAACGGAAGCAGGCATGGCAGTGCTGCTCTCCAGACTGCTCTGCCCCTTGAAGCGGGCGCAAATGCTGCTTCTGTGCCTGGGCATCGCCTATCTCATGGCAGGCAGCATCCTGCTCATGCAACGCTCCAACGTCCGAGTATCCCAGCCAAGCCTCCTCGCGTTTCCTCCCTTGCTGTCGCTTGCGGCACCTCCGACCACCCTTGGGACTGCAGGCTCGGGTGTGAGGGCACGATCCAGATGGGCCGCAGTACACTTTGCATCTGGAGCTGGCGCCAAGGTGGAGCAGCACTGGCCCGCCTCCCGAGGCCTGAGAGGCCAACACCTGCATCGCCACTGGTTTCATGGTACATTAACGGAGAGTCCAGAGAATGCAGGTCCTGATCGAAAGAAGCCCAGCCATAAAGGTATCCATCCATCTACTCAACCACTCAGTATCACTTAATTCTCCACCGACCTACCGACACAGTCAATTTTACTCTGCTCTAAGAAAGTCATACTCTGAAAAAAAGGCTGGTTTTGCTCCCAGTGTAAACAGAGTAAAAATGATACTTGGAAAAGTGTCAAATATCCATCCATCCATCCATTTTCTGATCCACTTATCCTCACAAGGGTCGTGGGGCGTGCTGGAGCCCATCCCAGCCGTCGTCGGGCAGTAGGCAGGGTACACACTGAACTGCTTGCCAGCCAATCGCAGGGCACACATAGACGAACAAACATCCACGCTCACACTCACACCTCGGGACAATTTCTAGTGTTCAATCAGACTGCCATGCATGTCTTTGGAATGTGGGAGGAAACCGGAGTACCCGGAGAAAACCCACACAGGCACGGGGAAAACATGCAAACTCCACATTGGAAGGAAAATCAGAGTAAATTTTACTCAGAGGAGTGGATTAATTGTACACCAAATGATCAAGATAAACTTTTATTTGACAAGGACAAACATATGTTACTCACCCACGTTTTCCACTGATAAGAGTAGGGGGTCGAGACTCCGGTACTGTCATTGAAGAGATTTTGCTCCCTTTTGAAGATTTTCTCCTGATGTGGTGGCCGGGGGAGGCCATTGTGCTTAAATATGTTTAAATACAACTCAGTTAGAGGAATAAAAACACACTGTAAAAATTACTCTCCCAATGTTACCGTGTATTCGCCTATCCACATCTGACCAAATTAACCAATCCATTTTCTACCAATCCATTATCTAGCTTTATTGCGTGTCTACTTCGCAACCAAGCAACCCAACCACTCATTTACCTCACTCTCGCTTGCTGTCGATCCAAAATGTAGCCCTATTGACGGAAAGTGCATCTCTCTTGTTTCATCAAATGTGATACTGGTTTACAGTAGAAAACATGCAATGAAAGGGAAGACACATGACATTTAAATATCATTGTGCTGCTGTGTGGAGCGAGACGGTGATTTCCCTCTGAAATATTGTAAGATGGTTCGTTGTATGTTCTTGTTGAAATGTGTCCGACTGTGAAGATAGCCCGAGGCTGCGGTAATACAAGGGGGCTCACAGAACACCTTCTCAGCAGACTTTATTGTTCATTCATGAGCAGATAATCATGACCTGCGAACATTTAGAATGTTTAGGACGTTTTTCGGATGCAGAGGCTTTCGATTTTATTTATTTATTTTTTTAAAGATTGTAGTCCTCACAGTGACATTTAAAATTATCCCTCACAAGGTTCCGCTGTGAAAAAGCTGGTGTTCGGGCTGCACTGTATGTCAAAAAAAATATTCTCATTGCGATAATGGTCCATGCAATATGCATGTTACAAAGATGTGCGATGAGTTTCATGTGGAATTGCACGCTTTAATCGGACCTTAAATGTGCATCGATGTCCAATAATAAAACAGGTGTATTTGTACTAATCCTAAATTACTTTAAATAATAGATGTAATGCTTTACTTACACAACATAACTTTAAAAAAATATGTCCTGTTTTATATTTTTTTAAAAAAGTAAGTTATTACAATTAACCCTTTCAGGCACAGTGGTTACTGCAGTAGACAGTTGACCATGTTATCAGGTTACAAGTTATTATTGGTGCATGAAAGGGTTAATTAGCGAAGAATACATTGAGCCTACTTATTTTCTTGCATGACAGATTTATTTCTTTCATAAAAATGTCATTTAAATGTCAGGTGAAAATCACAGTCATATCGATATCGCAATAAACAACATCCTTATTGCATGTTTTCCCAATTACTGTTCAGCCCTAGCCGGCACAATTAAATACCATCTTTAATTGATCCTGAAAGATTTCTCTCCTTTGTCCGTCAATGCTTGAAGCATTTTAGCTGAGATGACGAATCCTATGGAATTACCTCCAGTGGAACGTTTGCTCGCCCGGCTCATTCTTAAAAGCCTCCCACCGGAGCTCTGAAACCATTTTTGTTTTCAAGAGAGCAGACAATTACCGAGTCACTGAGGAGTAATACCGATGAAAAATGCCAAGGCCTGGAAAGAAATCAGTTTTAATAACTGCCACCTGGCAAAGGTTCTTATCAGAGAAGTGTAACTCGAACACAGCCTTTAATTACACAGATACATTGTGGCTTGGAGGTGAAATCGCCTGAGGGATAAAACGCAAGCCACTCCTATCGTGATATCACTTATAAACACAGACGGCAACGAGATATTTTCATTTGTCCTGGGCAGGTAGGCGAGTACTTAACCCTTTCAGGGACAGCGGTTACTACAGTGGACAGCTTATCAGGTTACAGGTTATCATTATTGGTGCATGGAAGGGTTAATTTGCAGTAATATTTTGGTGATTACTTAGCCCCGGGGGTCGGCAACCCGCGGCTCAAGAGCCGCATCTGACTCATTAGCTCCCCTGGAGCTTTTTCAAAAATGTTTGAAAATGGAAAAATATGGGTGAGAGAACTATATTATTTTGTTTCAATATGATTTCGACAACATTATTAACGTTTTCCAATGCTGTAAAAATGTGTCGAATAAATATTAAATTTCAACATTTCATCAACGAGGATTTGCGTCGTAGCCTGCGACACACATTTCTATTTCCAGGGTAGGATGTCAGTCAGGGGGCTGTTGTGAAAAAAAAAAACCCCAAAAAAAACCCCAGCCTTTCTTGTACAATTCATCGAGGGTACTTGCAAAGAATGGGAATCTGGCCGGCCGAGAGAAGCATTTTTAAACGGTACACGTGAGCTACGATAGTTAGCACGCTGCGAAAGTGCATCCCGTGCCTCGTTAATCTTAGTGGCCATTATGGCTGTTGCTCATTACGGCATGAGTGTGTAAGTGTGTGCGTATGCGCGTGTGTGCGGTAACGGGACGATCGCGGGAGGTTGGTTGATCGAATAGTAGCTCTTCCGTCAAAAAGGTTTGGGCGCCCCTCCTCTACAGGATGAACTGCAGGGGAAAAAAAACATTTAATCATGAATGCTTGTGTCTTTGTAGCCAACTTAGTCATGTTGATAGTAGGCTAATGTCGCTAATATAGATACATACAGCATGTTTTGAGTTCATGATAAGGCTTTTAATTTTTTCCGGCTCCAGACATATTTGCTTTTTGTTTTTTGTTTTATGATCCAATATGGCTCTTTCAACATTTTGGGTTGCCGACCCCTGACTTAGCCAGTCACACTTTAATTTGAAAGTACAGATGTGTTAAATGAATCATATTTCTCTATAGAATAAAAAAATTAAAAACTTCAGTATACATGTAAAATTTGAATCAGAAAAGCAATACAACACAGTCAAAGCGCAAAAAGGACAATGTTAAAATGACATTGCTTATCATAATGTCCCCACTCTCTGTCGGGGTTTAATGAAATAAGCTATTTCAATTTTCTAAAATAAAGGTTTATCATTTCTGGTGACGTGCTATTTCAGCAATTGCTATTAGATTAAGTTTGTCAGTTGTGTCTTCTTGCTAACAAATGCCAATTGCATGGAAATCATCCTGAAATATTACATTTAATTAGCTTAATGTTTGCGTTCATTCAGAAGGAAAAGGATGTTGAATTTACCACCGAAAACAGTTGCCTTGCGTCATCTTTAACATTTTCATCCTGTAAAACATTCTGGAAAGATGACTACATTTTAACCATATATTATTTTCGAATGAATTAATGTGTTTATTTACAGGTATGTATTTATTTTGCAATACATTGGTAACTATTTTTTGTAGATTGTGTTCTTTGTGAAAGAAGCAAAAAAAGAAGAAGGCATCATTGGGTTCCTTGTAAGTCGCTTTAAAAATCAAAATTAGAAGAATGCGATTTAAAAAAAGCTCGATGAGTGCATCTGTAGGTTAAAGCCCAGTATTCAGAGAAGAGTTGGGCCGGCTCTCATGCTGGGATAAGGAACTTGGTGAAGTCTCTGCTGGTTACCTAGCAACCTCAATGCAATGAGGGGGAATGCAGGAAGGATAACGCTTTCAGCCAAGTCATACCCACATGACCCCGTGTTAAAATACAATGCATCCCATTTGATTCAAAATATTTCAGAAACGGGGGATGAAAGGAGGATTAAAACATTTCAGTAGCGATGCTGGAGGTGTGATTCGATGCCATTGGAATGTGTCGAGAAAGTGCTGGATGACTAAAGCCATCATTCTACAACTAGCAATCTGGGAGAACTGCTTTCATATAAAAAAACTCAAGTGCATTGGCATTTCATGCACACAATGCCAGGCTCAGAGTAATGATTTGTCACATATCTGAGGGTTTGGATTATGTGCAGTGCAAAAGTAAAGGCATTATTTTGCATTTGTTTTTAAAAACCAAATCATCAGGCTGTTGTTTGTCTGGCCATGTTCACTTTGCTGAGGCAATGTTTCACTATTGCTGGAGCATCTATTGTGTAGGCTGACATCAATTTGAAGAAGGGCTTCTTTTTTAATATGTGTTTCATGTACCTTATTTTCCGCACTATAAGGCGCTTCATAGTATAAGGTGCAACTTCAGTAAATGTCCTATTTTAAAACTGTTTTCGGATGTAGGGCGCACCACATTCTAAGACACATAGAATAGAAGCTACACTAGTGGATGCGGTTGCATTATACATCCACTAGATGGAGCTATGCTAAAGAGAATTCAATACAATACAATACAATACAGTTTTATTTATACAGTCAAACCTCGGTTTTCGAACATCTCTGTTCTCGACCAAATCGGTTTTTGACCAAAAATTTCGAGTTTTTTTATGCCTCGGATGACGATCGAAAATCGGTTCTCGAATAAACTGAGCGCACTTGAATGCGCCACTTGACTCCTCTCGACTTCCTTACAGGAGGAAGTGACGCTTCCTCGTGTAGCGTTCCATTACTGACCAGACGTGTTCAATAAAGATTTTTTTTTAAAAGAGCGTGGTTTCGGTTTTCGAACAAATCGGTTTTCGAACAGCCTTTTGGAACGGATT